GAGATGACTGAGACATACGAGAAAGAGGCTTGGAGAATAGTATGTACACGACAGATCAGAAATCACTTGGGTATAGGGATTACCGGTGATCCGGAAAGAGGAACTATGATACTAAATGGAGATAGGACCAGTTGAGTGGTTCCTAGTCTAGGAGTGGACCAGTGAGGCGGTCGGGTGGACTACCCATTGGGTGGTGTAACACAAGCGGAACTGAAGGAACTGAGCAGGTCGGAAAAGTGGAGGGAGTAGGAGTAGGATCGGGTGGACCAATAGGGCGGAGCGGAACTCCAGATAGGGTTGGATGGAAGGGGTATAGTGTTGGAGGACATAGGGGTAGTGTTGGAGGAGCGGAACAGGGTTGGGCAGAGGTAGCAGGGCTAGTCCTGCTGAGATGCACTTCGTGCATTGTCGGAGAAGGAGGAATGAAGTGGACGAGGAAACAGGGGGTTGGACCAGCAGTAGGGATGCTCACAGGTGGTATTGGATGTGCTCGGATCTGGTATATGACAGTACATTTCTCCAGCCTTGACTCAATCAAGGTATGAGTCACACATCAGTCCATTATGAGTCCCCTTTGTATATTCTGCTTTCCATCTAGTCCTGGTGCCTTGTATGATCTAACCCTCCATTCCAATCTAACCCATTGTACACTATGGTTCATTGTACCTTTTGTTATTACTTTGTACTCCACTACAAGTTTCCTATAGTATATAAACCCTATGTATTCTGGTAGTGTTGCTACAATATAAATATAGACTTGAACCTATCCTAACTACCTCCAACTTGACTTGAGTCTTACTCATTGTCTATTCTGACCTTGAGACTAGTCTCACCAACCTCTGCCTCTGTCTTCCGACAGTTTTTGTATTACTTTCTACATCAGACTTAGTCCCTCATAGCGTTACTGCTGTCAGAGCACATCGGACATAGTCCCCCACAACCATACCCCTGTTGGAGCACATTGGAGTTGACCTTCAGCAAGCCCCTATCTGTCCTTCAAAGTTAAGGGTACCATACTCACATAAAGAGCACAGTGCATGAGCTGAAGCTAAGCCCCTCCATAACCTCCTTCCTACTCATTAGGCACGGTTCTGACATGATGACAGAATACCCTAGTGCTGCCTTTTCTGAAAATGGGTGTTGGATACTGGTCTGTCCACTTGAATCACAGCCCTATTGGCCTGAGTGTGCTTGAGTTTTCTGGGTCAGGGCATATTCTTGTACCAGTTTGTATAACAGTCATATGCTGTTTCACTGTCATATACCGGATCTGAGTACCCCCAGTACCACCTATAAGCATCCCTACTGCTGGTCCGATCCCCTGTTTCCCCATCTGCTCCATTCCTCCTTCTCCGACAATGCACGAAGTGCATCTCAGCAGGATTAGCCCTGCTACCTCCGCCCGACCCTGTTCCGCTCTTCTGACACTACCCCTATGTCCTCCGACCCCATACCCCTTCCATCTGACCCTACCTGGGGTTCCGCTCCTCCACCCTATTGGTCTGCCCGATCCTACTCCTACTCCCTCCGCTTTTCTGACCCTCACGGGGGTCCTTCAGTTCCGCTTGTATTCCCCCACCCAACTATTAGTCCATCTGACCGCCTCACCGGTCCACTCCTAGACTAGGAACCACTCAACTGGTCCTATCTCCATTTAGTATCATAGTTCCGCTTTTCGGATCACTGGTAATCCCTATACCCTAGCAATTCTGATCCGTTGCGTACATACTGTTCCCCGAGCCTTATTCTCGTATGTCTCAGTCATCCTATTGTATTCCTATACACTCAGCACATAGTCTTCTGCTATGCTATGCTCATCACTTAGAGTATATAAACATATGTACATTTGTCTGTAGATACTCAGTCTGAATATTACCTTTTCTAAGCCCTGCTCTTCTGTCCTTTGACTTGGGCCTGATCCTAATCACACCCCTGTTAAGCCGGCCTAGGGGATTGACTCCCTAGGATGGCCATCCTCTGATCCTCCATTCCTCTGCTCCTCTATTCCCCTGTTCCCCCACTCCCCCATTCCCCCGTCCCTCTGTCCCTCTGCTCCTCCGACTTCCCGTGCGTCGGAACTAGACCCTGCACTCTCACATCTGTCCCCTCCGTTCCACTCTGCTTCAGACTTCGTCCAAGCAGTTCCTTCCACTCTGCTTCTACTCTTCTACTGTCGGTTCTGACTGCAGTAGTCTCCCGCCTCCCTCCTGTCGGGTGGAACAACCCCCACCTGACTTTCCCACGCTCACCTAGTAGTTCGTCAGTCCTCCTTCAGAGGACCCCTGTTCCGATGTCCTGTCGGAACCCATAGAATTTGTGTCAGACTACATTCCGAAATTAGGGGCACGTACTTGGGTAAGGGGTGCAGCATATGAGCTGAAGCCAAGCCCCTCAGACTCTGCTTTACCCCTGAGCATGGTCTTAACATTCGCTCATAGCCCCCAAAAGAGTGTCAATAAAATCAGACTCATCCATCCCACTCTGCATGGAGTTTTGCAGGATGTGACGCGACGCGACTTGAGAGGGTGGAGAAATGTGTTTGGGCTGCACGACCCAAAATGGTAGCTGGCCGGCTTGGGTTCCGTGATTGGACTAGGGTTAAGGGATGCAGATCCAGTTGCCCAATTTAGGTGCCTTGAAGAAGGCGGAACTGAATGCCAATTGGTGTAAATTCCAGGAAGTAGTAAATATTATCACCCCATGGTCTTTGGTGAAATACTCATGAAATGGAGGTACACGCCATGATTAGATCATGAAAGATTGTAACTTTCCCACTTAAGGCATTGAACTTACTGATATGTATACACTGGGTTGTAGAGTTGTGGTCTATCCTCCAGTGCAGACTAGGATTCACTACCGGTGATGGCTTCATGGGGGAGCACAACCAAGTGCGTCAACATCAATTCAAAGCTACAGCTACTGAACAATGCATAGCAGAGCCCCAGAAGAGCATCTGCCTTTATTTCCAACCTATAGTTATAGGATGGGGGCCTGTGATATAGTAAAACTTGTCAACATGGTCAGGATATCCTTACCAACTTGGACCAGACATGGCCATCCCAGGCATTCCTTTCAAGACAACTCTCCTCAGAAATCATATCGGCAGAAGAGGCTCAGGGGGTGTATGAGCCAGTGGGTTAAGTCAAAGGACATTTTGTGTGACTGGTTCAAATTGAAATTGAATATTGAAACCCCAAGAAAAATGCTTATTGGAAATACCGCGCCGTTGGGTCTGGAACAAGCCGCCTTCCTCATGTGGGCTTCTCATGCTTGCTAGATCTCTCATCCCATACAGTCATTCACTGCCATTTGAGTTTGGAATTTTCAGATGTCTGCCACAACACAACCAGACACAATCTCGAAAATCGCTTTTGGGGATGGTCATTATAGATAGCTAATCTACTTGGTATGTAGTTTTGAAGAACATCAAATGAGATGTTATTCTGGGTGTTATCATACATCCACCGTCATTTGCGCCGACCCGAAAAGGCAGATTTATTCCCCAGTCACGCAGATAAGATACACCATGTTGTATCAATGTTCTTCCTCGCTATCTTCATCTGACTCGTTCTCCTCTGGCTCTTCCTCGTCAACATGAGTGAGTGTTGGCTTTGGGAGTGAGACCTCAAGCCCAGTGAAGACTGGACATGACCAAAACAGTTCGAATAGTGTAAAATGTTGTTTAGACATATTGATTATGCTATAATATTGTATGATCTGCAACCACATGGTTGTCAGTGCAATACATCGTAAAAACATTGCATTGCATCGTGAAAACATTGCATTGCTCGCTATCAAAGCGGTTTTACTCAACAACTCACGCACACGCATTACTTTGTCACCCAGCCGGAGTGTTTGTAGTGTTAGTTCTGGGTCAAATTCTATCTATCAGACCGTTAACGGTGGCCCGCTCCCCCCAAGTCCTGTTCTGCAAAAGCCTCTTCTTCTTCAGCAACCACAGGCTTGTCTTCCAATGCCATTCCCACCTCTTTAGAAGGGAAACTCAAACTCATCCAAGGCTATCTGAACAACCACATGGGATCTCGTCCTCTCCATTCCCTTTTCCCATCATTAGCAACTACGATCCCTCACAATTTCCTATGCGGATGTGACCTTGTTGACGACAAGAGTTACAAAATCACATTTCACCCAGCCCTCCATTGTAAAAACACCCGCAAGAACAACTGTACCTCTTGCTGCAGGTCTCTAGCATTATCTCATGTAGCAGGTGAAAAAAAATGCGACAATGAAAGCCTTCAGGACATGTGGATCGGGATCCTGTTCCTCACTTTCACATTTCCCCCTATTGCACGAATCATATTCGCCTTCCTCGGCATCCCAACTGCCACCCAGTCCCTAGACACCTTTACTGAATGGCTTTATATGCCATCTCATCATACCAACTTGCGCGGCTGCAGAGAAAACATTAACCTTTATGATCTAGTCCTAGCCTTCTTTGAGTGCACCGAAGAGCTTGCCCTCCTAGACTGGGAGCAGGTATTGGAGGAATCAGGTGCATAACTCTAGACCCCTGCATTGCATTGCATCATAGCATCACTGTTGTATTCCCTAAATTGCAAGTATTTCGGTATGTACATTAGGATCGGGATAGACACCAAGCAGGACAATTCGCATTTACCACCCAGCAACTGCATCGCATTTGGTTATAACTCATAATATTTAGTGTTCGTCGATATGTAATCTAAGAGACCACCGAAATGTTATTCGCATTTGTGCAAAACTGTTGACAAACAGAGTGAAACACAAAGTTACTGAAACATTGTTCCCTCATTTGCTAACCTGTGGATCATCAAATGTGGACCACCTTCATAATTAAATACGGATCACATTCATGTTTCCCACCCTCGCTTCTACTCAGTACATCATCGAACGCCGAACATTCTGATAATTTGCCTTGCACGCAACCGAATTGATTTCACTTCTCAACACCGAACGCCAACGTTTGACGCCCTATCCTGCCAGCACGATAATCCCAGGCCATGCTTCCACCCAACCCCCAACTTCCTAGACCTCCGCATCGTAATTCGAAGCGGACGTCAGGGGGTCAGGGCACTCCTTCGTCGTCATCACACGTATCGACGTCCACGTAAGTGCTGAATGTCCCCAAAATGTCCCCAATCCTAATCACCCTCACATTTACTGCAGGTCATCCCAAAACAATCGATATTTCACGTACTCCTGGGATGCTGACTGCATACTCTCTTCGTCAACGCAGACATCGTGTCCATCCTTTGCAGATGTCCGCCAGGACATCACATACGATGACCCCTGGTCCCGAAGAAATATTTCATCTGAGACTCAACTTGTCTCGATACACCCAGATCGCGGCTACACCGGACGACATGGAGCTCAAGTATACAGGCCCTCTCCTCCAGCGTCTTGCTTCAATTTCGTATAGTTACCCTGTGGAACTAAATACACCATGTCTGACGAACAAAAGAAGAGCTGGCAATGGCTTGAGGACACACTCCATCACGCTTTCACTGCTCTCAGTGCAAACATTATTCTACCCTTCAGTTTCGCCATCCTCCCTTATCCTTCTCAATATGGATACCTTCGCGATCACAAGACGCATCGTCATGCTTTGCAGTTGTGCAAAGACTTCAAGACTGGCCTTTCACTCCCTCCTCGGTCTAGTCAACCTGTTTTACGGTCAGGGTTCTATGGAGGTGTGACACTGCACCAAAGAATGCAGAAGCGCCCGCGCCTTCGCCGTCAGACCTATTGCTTCAATATGGGCTTAGCGATGCTCACGTTCGTGACATCATCAGTGCACTACAGCCGGAGATCCTCGGGCGTTGCGTCGGCGTCATTTTCGACCCACCCCACTGTGAAATGGGCGTTTTATACCCCTGGCTCAATCGTATACAAGTCCCGGTCTGGGTGATAGTCGGCAAAGCGCAAGGTCCTTACAACCCCGCTACCTTCAAAAACTACCAGTTCATACAAGCGTCGCCTACAAAAGACGAATTCATACGCATCAGAACAGCAATCGACAAGGCTAACTCTCAAGCAATTCCGTCCATCCCATCTGACACCAATCCCGACTCTTTGGATCGAATGGACTGCGCTTGTAGAGGTTCGGGAAAAAAGTGTGTAGAGTTCCTCTCTACTGTGTCTGACAACATCAAAGCCCATGTCCGAGAGTGACTTCAAAATGCTGCAAAGTTCATCCTACCCTCGCGGTGAGATGGAACTCGGTTTTTCCTTTGGTATCGTTCGAAGAAGGGGAGGTTCTGGGGAGAGCTCAATTGTGAAGATGCCAAGACGGAATTTGAGACCAGACCCAAGGAGCAGTTTGTATACAACAAGATCTCCAATGAATGGGATATATGCTCCCTCTCTGAATGTGATGTCGACGCACTGGATGGCGACCCTGGTTTCAAATTTGACAAACCAAATACAAACAACTCTGGTGTCTCAGATGTAACCATCGCTCATTCCGAGATAAAGACACCCCCTACTCTTCCATCTGACCACAATGAGGTCGGAAGATCCATTCTCTATAATCGCGAGATTTCCCAGGACATTTTGTTCACTTCTTCACTGGAAGACGTCCTAAGCAGTCGCTACAGACTTGTGTGCTGTTCGCAGACAGAAATACAGTCCCAAAGCAACTATACAGGCCATCCAGGATGCCCAATTCAGCGAGATCTACACCATTCGTAAATACCTCATGGAAATGAACCTCCCCCTCACGCAACCCAAAAATGAATTCACCATTCGATACTTCATCTCCTGCTTCTTGCTTGACATCACCCCTCCCTCCATCTTGTGGGATCTGCATCCGAAAAACATCGACGAACTCGTCGAATCCAATGTGCATTTCAAGTACACATTCGTTCAAGATAACACTTCGCACCAGGTTACCTCCTACACCCACAAGATGAAAGATACAATTGACCATGGGACCTCCTCATTCACAGCGCGGTGTCCGTCATCCAAGGTATCAGAGAACGATGGGGCCCATCTCTAGAGGACATCATCCTCTCCTTATTTGAACGTGGCATCAATTTTACACTCGTTTTCAATGCCCAAGTCGTGCATCCCTCATTTGCTCGTCCCAGAACCATCTTTGAGTCGATCCTCCGTCCTGCATGGGTGGTTGCCAGGACAAATACGAGTATGCAGACTATGAAAATCGAAGAGGTCAATTGCTAAACCTGCCTCACGTATGTGTCACTGTCGCTCAAGGTGGCATACTCTGGCGTCTCTGCAAACAGGAGCTTGCTAGCGATATACCAAATGGCCCCTCCAAAGACGTACAGTTTTTCGCAGATACATCTCCCGATGCACCTAAACGGTATCTCTCCGATACTCTGAGCTGACGACTGAGATCAACATTCTCTGCGATGTCTATCACATTGCTACCAGGTCAGTTTTTATTTACATGTTCAACGTCATTTTCTTACTAGTTTGTTCTTAACAGGCAGAGGCAATCAGACGGCAATATCATCATGGTGGCCTACCCCAAAACAATGGTCGTCGTCTGGATTTGGACTGTTGGGTACTGGAACCATTCCGCTGAAAACAGTGTTTCAGTCGAGGCTCAAAGCCATACGCGAAGGGCGAGCCTGAGTTGAGGGGCGCTAAACAATGGAAGAGCGAGATGAGTTACTACAAGAACCCGACTGAGGAAATTTATTGGTGCTGTCGAAAAAGAATGCATCGATTTTCTGCAGAACAGCGCATTGTAATACTATTTGTCCATAGCATTTTCTTCAATCATCATGTAAAGTCTGGCCATGCGATAGAACTGTGTATTCTCTAACTTTCATGAGAAAGAAGTCACAGTCTTAGTTATTATATACAGGATGTGCATACATTATTCAGAACATATAGATGATGCGAGCGTGCCAGGGTGTTTCCATTCAAAGTCAGTCATCAAAGTCATCCAATGTAGGTCAAAGTCTTGGCAATAACCCCTGACTCTTGTATTGGAGCAGCGCATTAATGACTAATGAATGATAAACGATGCAGTTGTAAGCCGTTTGCTTACGTATACCTGAGTTGCCATAAATACTGTCCAAGCATGAGCTTTCATTATCACTGGCTTTTGCGTAACGGTCAAGGGATGACAGTCTTGACTACTCCTCAACTACATGGCTCAAGCTGTCGCAGATGCAATCATGCCTGCTGTCAATCCCCTTCATCAAGGCACACATCAAGGCTCATGACTGGCACCAACGTCAGGAAATCGGCGAAGCCACGAGACAGAGTTTTTCCTAGATAGAGTTGACCAAATCAGATCATAAATTCACTGGGCTACATGCAAATACAAAGCTAGGCGAAGTGAAATAAAAGCACGAGAAAATTGGTGCTGAAGGATAAAATATTGTAAGAAAACTACAATTTTGATGAAGATATGCAACAAGTTGTAAGTGTACTATCAGTTCTTGGGCAAATGGTCACTGGTAACCAGTTAACCGGCCGCTTGCACTCATGCACCGGCCGTCCTTGACCCATGGCTCCAACTATATGGGTGGCCGAGAACTTGAATGATATGACTCACCTTGACCATTGTGTTCTTAAACTGGAAATTCCTGGCACTGGGTGATAAGAGCCCGCCTTCACCATACTTCTAACCCTAAGGTTACAGAGATCACCGCAAATGAAGCGAACTTCCGAACTTTCGCATACGAAGTCATAACCTCTTATGTCTCCCACTCTATTACCGACTGGTATTCCTGTTGTACAAAACACCGTCGTTGCTATTTTGCAGAGAATGGAGCAACTTCTGAATATGCAGAACAAGATCGTCAGGTGTCGACGACCGTAATAACTGGAATGAACTACGGAGAAATCTCTGCAGTGTCGTCATTGAGAGCTCCTGGGGCATTTTCAGAAGGTCCTGGATTCAAACCCCAGTCTGGCCATCTTTTATCCCAAACATTGCAACACTCAATGCTACCACACTATGATCTTTTCCACTTTCCCCCTCACTTTTTTGGCCCTCCCTTGTGGTCCCTGGTCCTCATTTGTGAATCTGGACCTGGACCTTACCTCTCTCTTCTATCTCTCTCCTTCTTAAGTTATCTCCTTGTTGCTCCCCTTTGCTGTAGTATGACCTATGCATTGTATACTAACCACACGTTTAATTAAATTTTGATTTTGATTTTTTTTAAAAAAAATGAGTCTACCAAAGGTCAAGAAATTGGTGCCATTGTGCAGCCCAGCATTACCAAACTTTGCCATGGCTCATATGTCAGTTCCCTGATGCGCCCTCATACACTTGCATTATCACTGGGTTCAAGAATACCAATAAAGCACCTGCACTACCCCCTCTCACCCCCAGCATCCTCAAGCTCATTCACCATGTCTATCCGATGATGAGAGATCCGACTCCATTTCAGAACTCCAAGATGGCCTGGTAGAAGGATACTTCAGTAGCGTTTAGCTTGACCTCATACCTAAAAAGGTATCACCTATTGTCACCGCATTTAGTCACGCATGTGGATCATGTCATCAATCCACTTGTGGACCAAAATTATTCAGATTCGAGCATTTCATTTCATTCATTAAATACTACTTTCATCATGTCAGACGCCAACGTTTGACCTAGCACACTCTTGGACCTCTAGCTGGTAATTCTGGCTAGTCATCCATTTGCAACATCGAACGCCAACGTTTGACTCTTGCGACCTTACATCATCGAACTCTTAGCGTTTGACCCATCAAGCTCTCCTAGGTTCCAACCCAATGCCTAAGCCGCCCAGCCGTAAAACTCTCACGCAGTCTGCAGCTATGTCGGACAGTAGCTATAGCGTGCCCAGACCTAGTACTTCTGGTGAGTCTACAGCATCTTTTGCATGGGTAACGTCTGACGGTCCATTATTCACACAAAGCGAAAGACCTATATCCCGAGCTTTCAGATGAAACCCTAGCCGAAAGAATGAAGGAATTTGAAGCTTCCTCCTGGGCAAACTCACCATGGGGAGAAGTTGTCGAGCCTCCACGAACGAAACGTGGTCCTCTTGGTTAGTAAATTGTTCATTTATGGCTTCTCGTCTAACCGTCGCTGCTAGTTGTACGTGGTCGTGCGGAGAAAGGCACGTTTTGGCCAGAAGGACAGGAGCCGACTTTTACGGGCAAGAAACGCAAGCGGCGCATTTTTGTAACCGCAGACAAATGCGAAACGCGCACAGAGATCACCCACAATCTCAAAGAAATTCAGCGCCTCAAAGAATTAACCCGTCACACTTCCACCTTCGAGGTAAAAAGCGGTGATATTTTATTGTACCACGACGACAGCGACGACGACGAATGGGATCACGAAGACGACGACTTCGACGACTTCGACGACGAGCAATTCAAGATCTCTCGCAAAATGATCATGGCTGGTCCATGCCATCCGCCAGAGTTTTACCTCCTTCAACAGTTGCATCACCCGAACGCATTATCCCACCTTGCTGCAGCGAGCCGATGGATCAATCAAGGGAAAAAATTCCCAGTCGCGGTACCTGTCCCGGATGACCTACGACAGCTTTGCGTTGCAGTTTTAACTGTTCCACACGGCATGCTGGCGGAGATACTGCCCCCCGACGACATATCTGTCTCAAATCTCATTAACTATCCCCTTCCTAACATTGCAAAGTGGCCATTCACAGGGCCTATAGAGTTTGAGGAAAGCCTTCCTACAGGCAAGGTCCACCCTAAGGCAACGATACCTCCAGATGCGTATGTCCGCCAGCTTCGTGCAAACTTTGGTCAAGCACTTCTGGACGGGAAGCGCTTGATACGTGATCCGCGCAACCCTGATACGTTGCTACCCCTTTGGGTGATCGAATTGTGGTGGGCATTACACTGTGCGCGAAAAAACAAGATGCAATGGGCGGAGGCCAAGCGTTGGCTACAGGAGAAAAAAGCAGCAGGTAAGGATGTGGAGTTGTTTCGTGAGGCAGAGGAGCAGCTCCGCTTTCTGCCCTGGAACAAGTCGCTACGTGGCCCTGCTGCTGCTGCCGGCAGAACGACAAAACACCTCCGCCTATTTCTATCGGACGACGAGCACCTGTCAGAGACTCTTGTCGATCTGATGACCGCCTCCCTAGTCTCTTTTTCACCCACACCAAAGCGCGACGTTATGATTGCCAATACCAGTTTCGGCGATGCCATCCGCAGCGCGAATAGTATCTCCTACCACGATCGGCCGCACAAAAAACTAAAGGCGCTTGAAGATGATGCCAAGAGATATAGACATCTTTACACTCCGGTGCATCTTCATACGCAGGATCATTATATCGCATTTGCAATCGATTTTGAAACGAAATCTTTTAAATACGGCAAGTACCCTCCGGTTTTAGCTTTGAATACGCACACTAATTTGAACGTAGGCGACTCTCTCTATTCCAAAAACGTCCCTAAGGCCATCATTGAGAAACTACAGTGGTGGTTCTCCAGACGGTTGGGTGGAGAGTTTCGAAATGATGGACCCGTCTTGCAGAGCGGTCGCCAGAAGGACTCTTGTTCATGTGGGCTTTTTGCGATCAACACCATCGCGCATAATGCCCTCGGACATGCGCTCGGTGTACCTGACCCTGCATCTGACCGAGCTAGATGGTTCTCATTGACTGCGAAAGGTCAGATTCCAGAACGACAAGTCGTGCAACGGGGACGTGATTTTCCAGCGGCCGTGCATCCAGAGGCCGCAATGATCGTGGATGTGTTGTCCTCAAGTGACCCCAATACGCAGCAACAGGCAAATGACGAAATCCTTTGCGCTCAGGAGCTCGAGCAAGCGAGACGGGAAAGGGAGGAAAAGAGAGACTGGAAAGGCAGGAGAAAGAGAGGCTCGAGAGGGAGGCTCGAGAGAGATTAGAAAGGCAGGAGAAAGAGAGGCTCGAGCAAGCGAGGCTCGAGAGGGAGGCTCGAGAGAGACTGGAAAGGCAGGAGAAAGAGAGACTCGAGAGGGAAGCTCGAGAGAGACTGGAAAGGCAGGAGAAAGAGAGACTCGAGAGGGAAGCTCGAGAGAGATTTGAAAGGCAGGAGAAAGAGAGACTCGAGAGGGAGGCTCGAGAGAGACTGGAAAGGCAGGAGAAAGAGAGGCTCGAGCAAGCGAGGCTCGAGAGGGAGGCTCGAGAGAGACTGGAAAGGCAGGAGAAAGAGAGACTCGAGAGGGAAGCTCGAGAGAGACTGGAAAGGCAGGAGAAAGAGAGACTCGAGAGGGAAGCTCGAGAGATTTGAAAGGCAGGAGAAAGAGAGACTCGAGAGGGAGGCTCAAGAGAGACTGGAAAGGCAGGAGAAAGAGAGGCTCAAGAGGGAGGCTCAAGAGAGACTGCAAAGGGAGAAGGTAGCGCTGGAACAGGCCCGCCGGGACCATGAGTTGCAAGATGTTGTCATGGGAGATGATTCCCAGGACGCCACCGGGGAATGAATGCTGATATGCACTACATTCATGTGTCACATTCCAAATATGAGCTTGGGCCTGGTGAAGAGCGCCCTAACTATGACCCTCTTCCTCTCGCAGGAAGGGCTGTTGATCATGGCAAATGACAATATAATGATCGCCCCCACGCATCTGGACTCCACCTTCAGCAACAGCCATGTCGTCCCCTATCTCCCCCTCCCTATAGAGCCTCATCCTATAGGGACTTTTCCCCTCATCAACCGGTGTCTCCCTCTCATGAACCGTCCTACAGACACTATCCTCCATCTCAGCAGGACCATTCCATTCCTCGCGGTCGACCACGTTCCCCGGTATGCTCTACTCGACCTGGTCGTTCACGCTCACCGGTTAGACTTGGAGGATATCAACTGATCCACATGTTACCGGAGTCCTGCAAGGCGTCGTTGTAAGTGCCCCTAACTAATTTTTGGTTTTGTAGCAACTAATTTCAGTCGCTTGTAGCACCCTCTCCTCATCGTGGACCCTCATTACGGTATAATCTCCCAAGGACCCAGTCCCCGTGAGTTTGCAGCACAATTCATGTAACTGCTGGACTAAATTTCAATGCATGTAGGACCTGATCCGCCGTCGTTTCCTATCGCAGGCCCTCCAGCGTATGCGTTGTCTGCTATGCCACCTGCTTCCTCGCTTGCTCCTATGGCCCCTGTCCCAACTCTCGCCTCTCGCCAGCGCGACTTCAGTTGCAGGCTTTGACATGACTGAATCGCCCTGCAACCGAGATCACAAAAACTCACTGGCTTATCAATAATACCAACTGCCTCGATCAGTTTGACGTACCGAATGCCGTCAACTCACCCTGGACCAACCAACTCTCCTACCAGTCCCTGCGCATCAGTCTCTCGCGGTCGTTTGGTTGTCTCGAAGAGGACCGAATTGCGACTGCGTCTCTGGCGAGCTCAGTATCCTGATGTGCTGCTGTGGTTTTTTGCCGCTCGCTGCCTCTCCAGAGGACTCAATTGGAGAGTGTTCGTTAGTCAGTATGACCTCATCGGTCCCAACCCTGCCCACTCCATCCCTCGGCCCTCCTATCTCGATGATGCACATCTCCCACTGGCCAACAGGGACCTTCAGCAATACGAGCATCATGTCCGGGCCCTTCTTCAACTTCCATATGCCCGGCGTCTTCTTTCTATGGGCGGCATACTCTGGCGGATCGCATTGCACTATGGGCCTGCGAGTCTTATTTCTGCTGCACTATCTGGTCCGTCTACAGATGCTTGCATGCATCTCCATGCCGACCTGCATTGGCTCAGACATAGATGACACTGTGACTCCAGATGCCATCGCCCTGCTGCTAGGCACCACTTGCACAGGTCATAGTTTATGGCCTCCTGGTGGACATCTTTGACAGGTACCAGTTTTGGCAAGGAGAGTGGTCCCCTAAATGGGAGGAGTGGTTCAATGGGCGTATCGCCGGCATTCATCACCACATGCAGCATTCATTACTGAATCATACTGAAAAGTTGCCGGATTTATTCCTCAGTTGCACAGAGTGGAGTCATGCACATTGTCAACATATGGTGGTTTCATTTAAAAGCTCTACAGTAGCCGGGACCGACGCTCATGCAGCGAGGTTATGCAGAGCGGTTGACCAGTTGTATCCACCAACGGAATCTTATGTAGCCTTAGTTTAGAAGTCGTTGTTTTGTTCATACCCGCGACTCACTCGCTTCTTCATTTATTTTTCCACCTTGCATAGTATAAATCACTAACGTACAACCTATGGAAGTCGTTATTTCATTCTTATCCTCGACTCACTCGTTTCTTCATTTATTTTTTCTACTTTGTGTAGTATAAATCACTAACTGTACAACCTACGGAAGTCGTTATTTCGTTCATATCCTCGACTCACTCGTTTCTTCATTTATTTTTCCACCTTGTATAGTATAAATCACTAACGACTATGCACAAAGATGCCACACCCAGTCAGAACGCTCAACCATGTATATATACAAAATATCTGATTTAGGCTAGCAGTACTAGTATATCTTAATTGTCATAGAACGATCAACTAGCCTACTCTGTCGTAATACGATCAGACTTGAGGTATTTCAAGTCATCAAAGTCTGTCATCAAAGTCATCAAAGTAATTCATCATTTCATTTAGTGCATGCGATCCATCTCTTTCTCTCTCGTTCTCTTTCTTCACAGTCAATCTGAAGGAGGCACAGTATATCATTTTTGCATTGCATGTAATAGAAAGTGGTCATAATGGTGTTTTTTTTTGTTCTTTTCTATTGAACTCAAAAGCTATCGTTGCTGTAGGGGTCGCAATCAAAGTGCTTTGCACCCGTCGCCCTGCCCTTGTATCCCTTACCGAATCCTCTTTCTATTCCACGACTAGTTATTATTCTTCGAGTAATCAGAATCAGAGGTGTGTTCATGAAAAAAAAGTAAGTAGTCAAGACTGTCTTCCCTTAACCATTACCCCAAAAGGCGTGATAATGAAAGTTCATGCTTCATTATCGCGGACAATATTTATGCTGATTATGGGAACTCATGTAAACACTATATGTTGATATTGAAGCTATTCTTGGTCGTCTGTGAAATTGCGCTGTGACAGCATTGTCGATCATTATGTAATGAAATTAGACTTGTGGATCCAATGTGGATCATTAACTAGTCAGCTTTAAGTGTTACACTTTTATATTGTTGTTGGTCAAATTCTACCAACTGCCGATCGCCAACGATTGGTAACCCGTCGAATGTCAGTGTTCGAACTTCATAGCATTTAACTGGCCTCTAGTTGGTAATTTCCAACTAGTTGTCCTCGAACACACGGAAATGTTTCACAGAACCCTCGACACAATCCCCAGTGCATACATCCACCATTGAATGCCAATGTTTGACTGTCGCGTAATCACACTCAAAATCCTCACACTCCTGTCGTGCACGCATCGACCGTTGAATGCCAACGTTTGACAGTCGCCTGACCACACTCGAAATCCTCACACTCCCGTCGTGCACGCATTGACTGTTGAACGCCAATGTTTGACAGTCGCCTGATCATACTCGAAATCTTCACACTCCCATCGTGTATGCATCCACTATTGAACGCCAACATTTGATAGTTGGACCAACGATGTACCCCAAGCTCATATGATGTGGCTCAACCTCTACAATGCCCCCTCAAAAGCCACCTACAAGGCCTCAAACACACATTCCTCGTATGATGCCAAACAATCATCATGAGTCGACACCATGTTCTAATGTCACATACTCCATTAATCACATACAACTGTTAGGTGCCAGCCTCAATGCATTTGAGGATTCGGCATCAGACGAGGATTCACGTTCCAATGCAGAACCTGTCACCCTTTCGTCAAAACCGGGGGTTCGATGCGCTGTCAAATTTCCGGCTGAAACTCTCAAGCTAACTGATGATGACAGCTCTGCATCACCCCTTCCATCAAAACAAGGTGTTCCGGGGCCTGCCACAACCTTGCCAATTGACATTATTGATGTCCCCAATGATGACAGTATCCCACATGCGACGTGAAAGGAACTATTGCCTTCAGACGATCTCCCTGTAATGCGACTGCTCCAATTCCCTCTGGGTGATGTTGTTCATCCACAATGGAATATCACTGCAGTGTCGTGCTTCGACAAGGCACCGCCTGTCAACAAGCCTGACCTTTGCCGCCCTCTACCTCCCAAGGATTTCATCACAGACCTCTGGAATGCATTACCCAACATGCTTGCTCATAGAAAGCACTCCATTAGGTGTTGGCATTACATGGACGTACCTTCACCTCTCTGGGTGATTCCGCTATGGGAGCAGTTGCACTGCATGCACACTGCAAAGAAACAATGGATTGGAGCAGATGTCTGGCTTCACAGTCAAGTGGAGAAAGGTGGGGACGTAGGAGTATTTGCCAGTGCTCATGAGCACCTACAATTTATCCCCTGGAACATGTCGTTATGAGGTCAAGCTGCCTGCAACTGTAGATCTACCTTGACCCTTGCACTTCTTTTGTCCAATGATTGGCTTTCTGAGGCAGTCGTTGACATCATGACTGCTTGCCTCGTCTCTTGGTTGCCCAAGGAACGACCCGACATTCTCATCATGAATACTAGCTTCACTGATGCGATCTGCTCTGTGCGTAATATCGCATCCTATGACAGTCTGCTGCACAAGGGGCTGCGCGACCTTGAAGAGAGCATCAAGAATTACAGGATTATGTACACTCCCATTCATCTCCATACCGAGGAGCATTACGTCGCATTCTCGATAAACTTTGAGACAAAATCTTTCAGTTATGGTAAGCAACCTTCTTTTGTCTATCGATGGTACACAAACTAAAGTGAATACAGGCGATTCTCTTAGTTCCTGAAATGCCCCCAAATACATCATCGAGAAGCTGCAATGGTGGTTCCAGAAGCAATTTGGTGGCAAATTCTGCAATGATGGACCTGCCTTGCAGCATGGCATCCAGAAGGACCGGTCTTCGTGTGGGCTGTTCATGATGAACACCATCGAGCATCATGTATTTGGACATGATCTTGGCATCTCAAATCCTAGAGTCAATCAAGCAAGGTAGTTCATTTTGTGTATGCAGAATCAGGTGGATACTGCAATGATGCACCTGTGGACAGGTTCATTATTTTATCCTAGGCATGTAGCAGATCTTCAGCGTGCAAAGGAAAAAGAGGAGAAGGCCAAGTGGGATAAGGCCTACCTCAAAGAAAGGGTCGAGCGAGAGCGGGCTGAGAAGCAAGCTAAACTTGAGAAGGAGAAGCAGGCTGAACTTGAGAAGGAGAGGCAGGCTGAGATCAAAACGATCGAGTGAGAGCTGGCCCGCATGCAGGGCATTGTCATGAGTGATCCTACTGCAACGCTTTCTGGTTTGCCCTACGATGATGATGACGGCATGAACACTGACATGTCCTATGGTTGTACCGTGACACACTCCATGTCGCCTCGACACCACCCCCCCGTTGCTATAGAGGTCGACAACGATGAAGGGCGGCTTAACCACAACCCCTCACCCCCTCAAAAGGCAAGGGTAAAGTCATTAACAGGGACAGAGAACACTCTTGTGATCGCCCATTCATTCAAACCTCAGGTTCCTCGAGGGTTTTCCATACAGAACAGCCTCGTCGTTCCATAACCCTGCATTACAGGGATTATCAAAGGGACCGTTGCACTTGCCGATCCGTATCCCCCCCTCGTGGACGTGATCGACCTCCTTCCTACATGCACTACACCTATGCAGCATCCCCCCCCCCCCCCCCCCCGCTGTGTTTCTCCTTGTCGCGGTTGATCGCGATCTCCAGCATATTATTCCCGTCATCATCAGCCTCTTTCTCCAAGGTACTCTCCACGTCGTCGTCATTGATCACCATCTCCACTTGAACCTCTCAACCCTAGAGGACATTACCAACGGTCTTGGTGCTACAAGACTTCTTCAAGGGCTTGCTGTAAGTCTCCCTTGAAACTCGCGTCTACAATGAACTAATTTCTGTCTTTTGTAGCACACTCTCCTTATCGTGTCCCATCATTATGTCATCGTTTCCAAACAACTCATGCCCGTGAGTTTACAGCGTGGCTTATTTGATTTTAGAACTCATTTTTAACGTCCGTAGTACCATCCGCCATTGCTACCCCCCCGTCGTATTCTATCACTGGCTATCCAATGCAAGTCTTGTCTCTCCCTGGCCCTTCCAGTACCTCGTTACAACTGTCACTTCCTCCACCTCTGAGATCGGTTGCAGGCTTCGACAGGTTCAGTGGGCCCCCTTCCAATAACAACAAGACTCGCTGGATTATACACTGTATGGCTGAATATTATATAAAACATGTCACATTTTCATTGTTTGATGAGTATCTCATTTGATAGAGGGTGTTACTGGGATTGTATTCCACTCACTTTTATAAAATTTGGTGGTCAGGAACATGAGTTATGTCCATTTTACTGTTTGGAAGGTGATACTACTCCATGACCATATTCAACAGGTATTATGTCATCTACAGGGAGTTATATCACTTGCATATAGGTCTATATGTATTATAATCAGGTAAATTTGGTATCTCCATCTGATGATGACCACACTCAGACATTTGCCCTAGGTGAGAGAAGGAGGGGGTGAACTATAGCAATGAAAAAAATTCCTGTGATCCTGAAACTTGGTTTATCATCTTCTCTGACCTTTAAAATGGTGGGCACATGATCAGCTTGGTCACTGATACATCCAGATTGATCTGGCTCTGGTGTCTCCTGGTGGGTTGAGATGATCTGAGTCTATCACCTCACAAAAAATTCTAGGGATCCTGAAAACTAGCCTATCATGTTCTCTGGCCTTTAAAATGGTAGGGACATCATCAGTATACTCACCAGTACATAATCTGGGTTTCTTCATAGCAGGAGGTGTTCTCAGTCTATGATCTCACAAAAACTTCCTACTGCTCTGAAACTTGGTGCACCATCATTCTTGACCTTTACAATGGTAGGAACATAATCAGCTTGGTCACTGGTGCATCCAAGATGATTTAGTCCTGGTGCCTCCTGATGACTGGAGGTGACCTAAGTCTATCACCTTACAAAAAATTCCAGACATCCTGAAACTTGGTGTATTATCTTGTCTGACCTTCCAAATAGTGGGGACATGATCAGCTTGATCACTGGTGCATTTTGAGTCATCTGCTCCTGGTGTCTCCTGATGGGTGAAGGTGATCTGAGGCTATCACCTCACAAAAAATTCTAGACATCTTGAAAACTAGCCCATCATCTTCTCTGACCTTTTCTATGGTGGGAACATAATCAGCTTGGTCACTGGTGCATCCAAGATGATCTAGTCCTGGTGCCTCCTGATCAGTGAGGGTGATC